AAAAAAAAAAAAACCTGAAAGTGGTGTGTTTCTGCATTAATTGCTTGAGAGTGGCCAAAGTAGAAAAGAGACTCCTGTAGTTACCTGCTTCTCTTAACTAGGCTCATGCATTGCTGGCCATGGAGCGTGTGCTCAGGTATTTTCAACGTTTTATGTTTTATTAAGTTTGAATTCCTTTGTTTAAACACACTCTAACCAAAGACAAACACTTGCCTTAGTGAAACACAAGGAATTCAGGTCTCTCCTCTTAACCAGGAAAAAAAATTAAAAGAAAAAGCACAAGCTCATTTTTAAAAACCCACAAAATTGTAACTTTCTTTTACCAACAAACACATAAGCCTCAATTAACAATCTCTGGACTTATTTACCTACATTTGCATAACTCTCAATAACAATGTCTCTGAATGTGTATTAACCTCAGATGCCCACCAAATCTAGTAGGAACTGAGATATACAATGTTCCTGAAGTTCCCCATAGTTACCATCCTTCCCAGATTGACCTATTTAGCTCCACTAAAGTACTTTTTTCTCAGACTCTGAGGTAAGGGACAAGTTTTTATTTATGATATGCAGTAAGCCATGACTATTTTTGTAAAATGTAACTAATAACTTGCTAGAAAAACACACACAAAGCACATAAAAGCCCTAAGCCTCAGTTTTTATTTACCTGATAAGAAGTATAAAATTACTGCCATATATTTTAATTTCTAAATGTTTGCCTTCAATATCTATATCTTCTATGGAACAGTAAAAATAATTCACAGATTGGCACTGATACTTTAAATGGCACTGACTTGCTGTTCTGTAAATGTGTCAGATACTTCCAGACTTCTGAGCCATTTCTCCCCTTATCTCTTTGAGCCCATTAAAGTACTTCTCATGCAAGTTTCAACTCATAGTGTGATGTTAATAAGATTTATTGAGTGCTTTATGCTAAGACTTTAGATGTATTTGTAAATTATCAACTATGAGCCAGCTGTTACTGTGCTATTATTATCCCATTTTACAGAGAGAACTTTAAGAATTAGAGAAGTCAAATCAGATAATTCAGCAAGGTTCAAAGTGTTCAAATATAAGCAGGTCTCATTCTTGGGCCTAGGCCCTCAATCTGCATGCTGGACCCTCCTCCATAAAACCTCCTCTCCCCCATTTATTGTTCACTTAAAATTAACCATTCCATACTTGAACCTTTGCTGCATTTTCCCTCATTGGTTTTCATTCAAGCTGGCTTCCTATCTTCAAGCCGTGAGTACAGTGGCACTTGTGTTATCTACACAGCTCTTACTGCTGCTCTGTCCAACCATAACATCCTCTCTGCCTTTGATTCTACTTCTATGTACCATGGGAAACAAAGCTCGTTCTCCTCTTTGTATAACATCTTTTCTGCATACCTCATGTTATCTGTAATGTGTTTATCTCTACATGCCTTCTAGAACACAGGTCACCTGCTATGTTCAGTTAACTTAATAAAGATGTTTTTTATTTATTTAATAGAGCAAGCATTTCCATAGCATTTTTTTGATATGCCAAGGACTATTCTAAGCACTTTACAGTCTCACAAACAGCCTTATAGAGTGGTTATTATTTTATCACCCCTCAACCCATGAAGAAACTGAGGCATAGAGCAGTTATTAGTAAGAAGCTGTAATATGGCAGAGTGAGCATGGTAGGCCCCACAACCTAATGCCATGGTCAGCCATGATCAGCCATGATGTGCTGATCTTTCAACACACCATATGCTTTACTTGCTGAAAATACTTCAACAACTTCGTGCTCCGTGAGCATTAAATCAAAACCCCTTAAAGGCCTTACAGATCTCCAAAATTCTTCAGCAGCATCTCCCACTGAACGTCCAGCTTCTTCTCGAGTTATCCTTTCTTCTTTCCCTCACTCTCACTGATCACAGCTCATGTTGTCCCCTTAACCTGGAATCCTGTTTCTCCACCTTGTTTCTTCCTCAATCCAAAATTGTCCTTCAAGTTTTAGCTCAGGAAAACCTCTCCAGACTAGATCTACCACCATTTGTAAAGCATTTTCTTTACTTCATTATATACTTCATCCATTAAATATAACAACATGGCCCTCCCTGGTGGCGCAGCGGGTTAAAGCACAGCACTGAGAAGCTGAGGCCACTTCCACATGAGTTCGATTCCTGCCTGCCCCGGAGGAGACCACATGGTGAGGCAGACCTCTCCTGGCCTGCCCACTGCTCCCCTCAGCAGTGCACTTCATCGATCTGCCTATTCTGCTCCCCTCTCTGTCTCTGGTGAAGCCTCTCACTGCCCCTGAACCTCTGGCCTGTACCCCAGTTCTGTATGTACAAATAAATAAACCTTTAAAAAATATATATAACAACATATACTCTTACATACCAATATGATTGCACACATTTTATTTATGTGAATACTTGTCTAAAGCGTCTAAAGTCTACCCTTCTCAAAATTGTGAACTCCATAATGACAAGGACAAGTTTATTTACTCATCTTTTTACCCTCAGTAACTACTATGGGATCTGCAGTAGGCAGTGGTAAGCATTCACTGAATGAATGAAGAAATAAGTAATGTCAAGAGGATATAAAAACAAAGGAGGGAGTCAATGTTGTGCTGCCAAATGGCCACCAAGCACTTAAAAAAATAGAGAGTTGATATATACCATTTGTCTATTTCTGTGTTGTAAATATTTCCATCATGGCCAATTTGGGGATGTCCCTGTGACGTCACACACATTGCATAAAATGTGCCTCATGATGTCACACAGCACTGGGGCTGGGAAGTGCTGTGAGCAATCTACTTGGAGAAACAACATCAGCTTGGACCAGCACATCACTGCTGGCAGAACACCAAAGTCAGTGGAGCAGAGTGTGCTGGACAAAGCCCAGGTAGGCTGCACAGAGATCTAAGCTGAGACAGGAGAATAGGAAACAAGTTCCGGAGAGAGTCCTGTAGAGGAAAAGAGAAAGTTCAGTAAGACTGATCTGTGCTTTTGAAAGGAAGAGCCTCATAAATCTTGAAAGAGGCCCCCTATTTTTCGAATATCTTGCTCACCATTTGGATTATGAGTAGTAGGGCCAGAAGGGGTACTTGATTGGGCAACCAATAATGCCATCTACACTGAGGTACTTAGAGAGTGATGGGACGGACACCAGGACAACAGGCATAAAGTGGAGTGTGTGGTCCACATAGTATTCAAGGACTTTCCAAGGACAAACAGGTATGGAGAGTTTTAAGACACTAGATTCAAGATCCACAGCCTCTAAGGTTATATTGCCTCCTTCCAAAAATTTATCAGTAATGTACTTCATAATCTGCCTATTCTGCTCCCCACTGTCCCTGGTGAAGCCTCTCACTGCCCCTGCACCTCTGGACTGTGCCCAAGTTCTGTATGCATAAATAAAAAAATAAATATTTAAAAAAAAATGAAATAACTTCTCTGACACATCCCACACATCTCAAAAATATGTTCTTCCAAGGGGGAAGATATCCCAAAAGCCAAGCCATGGAATTCAGTTTCCTGAATTAGACTTCCATAAATGTCTGTGACCTTATCTGTATCATAAAGATTCATTTCTGGTAACTCACATTTATATTTAATAACTATTTATTAAAGGTATAATATTTTTGTTTCAATAAATTACACAGTTCTAATAATTATGTTAATCCAGGGAAAAACTTTTTAACACAAGACTTTATGGCAACAGGGAAAATTTTAAATTAAATTCACATTTGTATTTTTTAGTGGAGAAATATTATAGAACAAGTATTCCAGAGTTTTTATAGAGCATAAAAACCAGAGGGATAAAATCCTGGTTGAGAGACACTGAGATGGAGAAACAACTTCATAGCCATAAAGGAATGATACAATTTTTTTGACTGTAAATGAAGAGTTTTTGCAAGTATTTTTTAAGTGAATGATGATGAGTAGCCTTAGTCATTGTGAAATTTAACTTCCATGGATATGTCTAGAAGAGTAATATAACAATGTAAAATGTAAATACTTATGACATATTAGGAATAATACTACTTGTGACTATTAAACTTACAATGATAATTTTGGAAGTGAATGTTTTTTTTAATTGTACTTGGTAGTATATGAGCAAAAATAGTTGAAGTCTGCACTTTACATGACACAGAAGCCAAAATTTGGTTCTGTCATTTTTTTTTTTTCTAGTCAGCTAGCTATGGACAAATCATTTAACCTCCCAAAGCATTAACTTTCTTGTCTATAACTTGGGAAATGATAAAGCCAACTTTGCGGGTTAGATTGAATAAATTTTATAAAAATTCCTAACAAGTCTGGCACTCAAATACTTATTTAGTAATAAATAAGTGGTACTCAGTGTTAGTAACAGCTAACATTTCTTGACCACTTACTTTATGTTAAGCACTGAGCTAATCCAGTTTAATTCTCAACAGACTGTGTGGTTGGGTTCTGCCAATCCTAGATGAGGTAACTGAT